GGAGGTTGATCGGCTGCTTGAAGCCGGATTCATCAGAGAAGTTCAGTACCCGGCCTGGCTCTCTAACGTTGTTGTAGTGCAGAAGAAGAATGGAAAATGGAGAGTGTGCATCAACTTCACCAACCTAAACAAAGCCTGCCCAAAGGATAGTTTCCCATTGCCCAGGATTGATCAAATGGTAGATGCCACCACAGGATATGAGCGATTAACTTTCCTAGATACTTATTCCGGTTATAACCAAATTCCTATGGATCCAGTTGATGAAGAGAAGACTTCATTTATTACTGAACGAGGGACTTATTGCTATAAAGTCATGCCATTCGGATTGAAAAACGCTGGAGCCACTTATCAAAGGCTGATCAGCAAGATTTTTAAGGGCCAGATGGGCAGCACTGTCGAGGCTTATATTGATGATATAGTGGTCAAGAGTAAGAAGAAGAGCGATCATTTAGCGCACCTGCAAGATGTGTTCGATGTGTTGCACCAGTATGGGATGAAGCTTAATCCGACCAAGTGCTCATTCGGTGTAAGCTCCGGTCAATTCCTGGGACATGTGGTCAATCATAGAGGAATTGAGGTCAGCCCAGCACAGGCAAAAGCCTTGATCAGGAATGCAGAGCCAAAGACAATTAAAGAGGTGCAGGCACTCACAGGCAGGATAGCCGCACTTAGCCGATTTATTTCCAAGCTTTCGGACCGCTGTAAACCTTTCTTTGATACAATACGAGGGCATGGAAGGCAAACCTGGGGGGATGAACCAGCCTGAAGGAGTACATGCGAAATCCCCCGGTTCTGTCTGCTCCAGAACCGAATGAGAGACTTTTTCTATATCTCGGGGTGTCCAGCATAGCAACCAGTGCCGTTCGATTCCTCGAGTTATTGCTCCAAGCCGTCAGACCAAGATCGTGTCCTTTCAATAATCTCACCCTCATTAATGAGGAAAGAGATTATTGGGGGCAGATGAGGATACCAAAATGACCCGAGCTTGGAGTGATCCACATTGCATAGGATGGGTCGGATGTGGATAAACGGGATGGAGCCAGTTCGCGCCGTATGGGCCCAAGTCCATAAAGCCATTTCAGAAGCCCATGATGAAATGAGAGGAATCGAGTCCAGCCAAAGGAGAATATGATAGGATTGGCTCAGTAGAGGTTGTAACTGTCTATAAATAGAAGGGATTGAGAGGGAAAAGGGGTTGAAAAATCATTGGGAGTGTAAAGTTTCTCTCTCTACAATTAGGGAAAAATTCTTTGTACTTTCATAAATAAATAAATAAATAAAATAAAATAAAAAAATGAGAGATTTATTAGTTGAAAGAGGTCCTCCAATAGATGCTAAACTTAAATTTTTCCTAAAAATTCAAAAAGTAAACATTTCTCTTTTACATATTACATTCGACACTTGTCAAACGATGAAAAACGTGAAAGGAGATGGCTAATCCATTCGAGTTCTTGGGACAGAGTCTATTGCTTTTGTTGTAAGTTGTTTAAATGTGATGAACAAAAAACTCATTTGGCAAATGAAGAAGTCAATAACTGAAAAAATCTTTGTGACAAACTTAAAAGTCACGGCACTAGTCATGAACACATTGTTAACATGGGGAATTGGATTGAATTAGAAATCAGAATACAAAAAAATGCAACAATCGATAAAAGTGAGGAAGAAAAAATCAACAAAGATAGAGAACATTGGAGGCAAGTATTAATATTGAAAATAATTTCTGTTGTGAAAACTCTTGCTAAAAATAGTTTGGCATTCTGTATGGACAATGAGAAACTTTATTAAGAAAATAATGGAAACTTTTTAAGCATAATTGAAATGATTGTTGAATTTGATCCAATAATGAAAGAGCACATTCGTCGAATTCATAGACAAATTCATTACCACCATTATCTTAGTTACAAAATTCAAAATGAATTTTTTCTTCGAATATCGAATGAAATCAAATGTGTAATCATTAAAAGGGTTAAAGAAGCAAAATACTTTTCAATTATTCTCGATAGTACTCCGGATGCAAGTCATGAAGAGCAAATGTCACTTATATTAAGATGTGTGAATGTTTCAGCAAGTCCAGTAAATGTAGAAGAGTTCTTTTTAGGATTTCTAAAAATGGATGATACATCAGGGTAAGGGCTTTTTGATGAACTTGTAGATGCTTTGAAAAGTTTTGAACTTGATATTAGTGATGTAAGAGAACAAGGGTATGATAACGGTTCTAATATAAAAGGGAAACACAAAGGTGAACAAAAAAAGTTACTAGATATATAAATCCTAAAGCATTCTACACACCGTGTGGTTGTCATAGTCTTAATTTTGCACTTTGTAAGATGGCAAACTCTTGTTCTAAAGCATCATCTTTTTTTAGAGTTGTGCAACGCATGTATTCAGTGTTTTCATCTTCCATAAAGCAATGGAAATTTCTCACAGACAATGTTAAAGGTTTTGCACTTAAGCCACCATCACAAACACGTTGGGAAGGTCAACTTGAAAGTGTTAAATCAATTAGATTTCAAGCTCCAAATATAAGAAATGTTTTAATTCACTTAGCAAATACTAGTGGAAGATCCCAAGACAAAGAGTGATGCTGAGTGCGCTACATATGAAATTGAGAATTTTGAGTTCTTACTTGGTATGGTTATTTGGTCTGATATATTGAATGTTATTAATAAAGTAAGCAAAATCATGCAAACAGATGACATGAAAATTGATGTTGCTATAGATCTCTTAAAAGGCCTTGTTTCTTTTTTTGAAATTTATAGAGAAAATGGATTTAAATATACTATGATGGAGGCTAAAGAGATGCAACTGAAGTGGAAGTTGAACCATTAATCTGTGAAAAACATGTCATTAATAGAAAGAAACAATTTGACGAGCTAGAGTGCCAATGAAGAAATTACACAATCGGTCGAAGAATCGTTTAAAGTTAATTACTTTATATACATAGTTGATCAAGCTATTTCTTCACTAAATAGTAGATTTGAACAATTTAAACAATATGACGACTCTTTTGGATTTTTGTTTAATTTGGCGAGGTTGAAGTCTATAAATAATGATAGTTTGAAGTGTTCTTGTCATAATCTTGAAAATATTCTAAAACATGACATGATTTCTGATATTAATGGGATTGAATTATCTTTAGAGTTACAAGTCTTAAGAAAAGCTTTACCAAAAGAAACAAAAAAAAGTAATTGAAGTATTGGATTTTATAAAAGGCTAGGTTATTGTTTTCCAAATGCTTGGATTGTACATAGAATATTATTGACTATCCCAGTTACAGTTGCATCCGCTAAGAGAAGCTTTTCAATATTGAAGTTAATCAAATCTTACATGCGGTCGACGATGACACAAGAGAGATTAAATGGATTAGCTATCTTATCTATTGAAAAAGATGTGTTGGAGAAAGTTGATTTGAGCACTTAAATTGATAATTTTACAACTCAAAATGCAACACGATCACAATTTTTTTTTTTTCTTTTGCACGTGTGAAACTTATATAAAAAGGGCCTCACATTTAAAGTTGGCCTAAGAAATTGAGATGTTTTTATCTATCTATCTATCTATCTATATATAAGAAATTGAGAAATATTTTATTTTATAAATAATATAAAAATATATATTATTATTTTATTATCATATCTTTGCAGTGGTCGTGTCCAATGTTTTAAAGATTACACCGACCGTCAAATTTTTGTTAGAATCGTTAGAATTTGAATGAAAATCGAATTTACCCTTATGCATGTCTAAAAAAGCGTAAATAGCCTTATGAGCTTCAAAAATTACTAAAATGCCTTAATCACTTTGACTGATATACCCTTCCCCTGCCCATGCCTTTGGCACGTATTCATTTGGATTTTTTTTTTTTTTCACTGCTATTTTTTTTTCTCAATTATTTTTTTTAGGTGGCAAATTAATAAATTTTTGGGTCATTTAGGTGTTAAATTATTTCTTAAAATTATCCTTAATTTTTGCTCATTTCTATTCTTTTTGTCGAAGCAGCTAATTTTGTCACTAAAGATTTTTTTTGACAAGCACAAGTGTAATTAAAACACAATTGGCCATACGTTTCCAAATAAAGATTCTTCATGACTTCTTTCATTATCTTCTAAAGCTCTATTTTTAGAGCTACCTATAGTACATTTAAAAATCGTTTACAGTATTGAACACCAGAGAAACCCTAATATGTTGTATATATAGAAACGATGACTAATTTTGAAAGAACACTAGAAAAAATCCTAATATGTTATATACATGGAAATGATGACTATTTTCGAAAGGAAAGTGAATATTACACATGTTCATACAAAATCAAAGAGATTCCTTCGATTTTGTATAAAAAAAACCCTAATATGGGTTAGGTGCAGAGAGAGAGATTGGGTAGGCGTGGGGAACGAATTTTCTGAAAAGCAATACTTTGCATATACAAGAGTAAAATGGAATTTAAACTGTTCAAGATATTTTAATTTTTGAATATTATAATTTGAAAGGCATAAGTGACATTTCTTTTGATTTATTTATTTTAATGTCTTCTTAGTTAATCAACCGGGTGTAATAAATTCAAACTTCGAATGGCGTGAGTGTAACTTACTCAATATTTAATTACTTTTGCATATCAAAAATTATTTTGATTAAGATGTTTCAATCGAGCAAAAGGATCACAATATATCCTTAGCATTTAATTTAAAGATATCAAACACTTCAAAAAGAATTGATGAAATCATAATTTGATAGCTCTCTTTTAAGTATAATCTAATTCTTGTGATAAGAGACTGGGTGGTCAACTAAAAATCTAAATCCGTCCCAGTATTATGGGACTAAATCAATGCGCAAAAATTACGAGCCTAACATATATAATCTTTCCAATTTAAAAAACATAAATAAGGCGCCTAATAAAATCTTTCCAATTTAGGAAACAATCACCCTCTCTGTAGCTATAAATTGTGCAATTCTAAAGCTCCTTTTTCATCCCATTATCTCTCAGACTCCTCTCTCTAACTCTGGTCATGGCTGCCACCACCCTCTTCAACTTATCTGCTCTCTTGTATGCTACTTTCTTTGTGTCATACATCATTAATCTTTCAGTTGTTGAGGCCAGCAATGGTGGTGGTGGCTTCACCGTTGACCTCATACACCGTGACTCTCGTCTCTCTCCATTCTACAACCCATCGGACACCCGTTTTGACCGTCTTCGCAAAGCTTTTACTCGCTCAACTCTCCGTGCTGTCCATTTCAGCCCCACCTCAAAATCTGAAGACACAATCCAATCTCAAATTATAGCTACCAGTGGTGAGTACCTCATGAATTTGTCGATGGGAACCCCACCCGTTAACATGATTGGCATTGCTGATACAGGAAGTGACCTTCTATGGACACAATGCCAACCTTGTAGTGATTGTTTCCAACAAGATGCCCCCATGTTCAATCCCAAAGATTCTTCCACTTACCAACCCTTAACGTGCGATTCTCAACCATGTGAAGCCTTGGACACCCATACTTGTAACAGCGACGTATGTCAGTATAAAATGTCATATGGGGATCAATCCTATAGCAATGGTGATCTTGCTGTTGAAACATTCATTTTTGGTTCCACTTCTGGACACCCGGTCTCTGTTCCAAAGGTAGTTTTTGGGTGTGGACGTGAGAATCAGGGCACCTTCAATGAGTCCACCTCTGGGATAATAGGTCTAGGAGGGGGCCCACTGTCAATAGTGAACCAATTGGGTGACAACATCAAGGGCTTGTTCTCTTATTGCTTAGTACCATTGAATGCAGCTTCTAGTGTCACAAGTGAGATCAATTTTGGTACCAATGCCATAGTTTCAGGGTCTGGGGTGGTCTCAACCCCCTTGGTCTCAAAGACACCTCAAACATACTACCATCTTACCCTGGAGGGTGTCACAGTTGGTAACAGTACCTTGCCCTACAAGTCCTCATCTGAATCCAAAGCCGGTGCCGATGAGGGTAACATTATTATTGACTCAGGGACAACCCTTACGTATCTTCCCCAGGATTTCTACAGCGATTTAGCGTCGGCTTTGGCTGCTGCAATCCAAGCTACAGCCCAAGACTCGGTAGCGCCATTCGGCCTCTGTTATGCAACTCAAGGCGATGGCTTTGATGCTCCAACCGTGACGTTTCACTTCGCCGGTGCTGACGTGGATTTGCCGGCGTCGAGCACCTTCATCGAGGTGTCTGATGGCGTGGTTTGCTTAGCCATTGTCCCTGCTGATTCTGTTGCCATCTTCGGGAACTTGTCCCAGATGAACTTGTTGGTTGGGTATGACCTTGTGAACAAGAAGGTTTCTTTCAAGCCAACTGATTGCACCAAGGTTTAAGCAGTAGTAGAGGTGGTGATTTGATTAATTAGTTATTGGAATCATTAATGTTTATGGTGATGAACTAGTAGCATCTTGAAATTTGATAATGTAGTATTTTTCAGTAGCATTTCTATGTGATCAGGAATACTTATGTATTGAAATGGGTAATTTGATTAATTAGTGTTATTGGAATCATTAATGTTTATGGTGATGAACCATTATCTTAGAAATTTGATTGTCATAGCTTTTCTATGTGATCAGGAATATTTGATTTATTAGTTATTGGAACCATTAATATTTATGTTGATGAATTAATATTTTAAAATTTGATGAAATATCTTGAATCTACGTGGACTTGATAAGAATTTCGTTCTGTTGAGGATGAATTCAATAAAATAAATTTGGGGTTGATCTTAACAATTCATTGCATTTATCCTAAACTTCTGTTGTATTTTTCATTTCTATGTGATCGGGAAAATTTATGTATTAAAATGCGTATGAGAGAGTAGTTGCCAGGTAACTCTTTGACCATGTTATCAATGTAAAAATTCAAATTTAATGACCCATTCTATTATTAGTTAAAGAGTACATGTAAAGGAAATTATGCAATTAGCAAAATTCTCTCTATTTCCTGATTATACAACTCAGCATTATGTATGCTAATTCCGTAACTTTTGGCAATTTGTTGCGTCCAATAATAAATATATAAATGTGTGTATATATATATCTATACTATTATTAAATGTACAAAGTATTTTAGTATTTATTTATTATTTATTAATTAATAAAAAAAAGAATAGTTATTTTTTAAGGATAATTATCACAATACCCAGTTATAATTATGTCATTATAAGGAGAGTACACATGTCATCATCCTATTAATCCAATAAGCCTGTAAATAGAGCTATGGAAAAAGGAGGACCTTATAGAAATTGAAAATTTTAAAAATTCAGAATTCCAGAGTTTCAGTATTTAAATATTTATTTATTTATATAAAAAAATATTTATCAATTGATGATATGAAAAAAGTTTTTATAAAATAAAAATAAAATAAAAAAGCTATAAAACTAAAATTTAACTAATAAAATTTAAATTAACCTATTTATCTATTTATTATTATGAATTTTTTAACAAAAGAAAATCTAATTAGACAACAATAATTAAAATAAAAAATATTTATTAATTGATATAAAAAATAAAATAATTTTTCTAAAACTCTTCCACAAATTAACTTTTATTATAAGTTTCTTAATAAAATTATATATAATTAGAAAAAGATATATTTAGAGAAAATAAAATAATTTCTATAAAACTCAATCACAAATTACCTATTTTATTTTCAATAAAACTCTATCACACCAAACAAAGATATACTTAAAGAGTTTCTATAAAAGTCTAACACAAATTACCTATTTATCTATTTACTATGAATTTTTAATAAAAGAAAATTTAATTAGATAAGTATTATTAATATAAAAAAATTACTTATTAATTGATACAAAAAGAGATTTTATAAGAGTTTCTATAAAACTTTAACACAAATTACTTATTTATCTACTTATTATGAGTTTTTTAATAAAAGGAAATCTATTTATCTATTTATTAAGAATTTTTTAATAAAAAAAGAATTGTTAAAATAAAAAATATTCATTAATTGGTATATAAAATAAAATATTTTTTCTAAAAATCTTTCACAAATTAGCTTTTATATATTATGAGTTTCTTAATAAAATTAAATCTAATTAGATAAGGATATATCTAGAAAAAAATAAAATAATTTCTATACAACTCTGTCACAAATTACTATTTTATTTTTAATAAAACTCTATCATATAAGGATATATTTAAAGAATTTCTATAAAACTCTAACACAAATTACTTATTTAGCTATTTATTATGAGTTTTTTAATAAAAGGAAATCTAATTAGACAAGTATTATTAATATAAAAAATAATTTATTAATTAATATAAAAAGATGTTTTAAAAGAGTTTCCAGTGTTTCAGTATTTCAGTATTTATTTATTATTTATTAATTGATATAAAAAGAATAGTTATATTTTATGGATAATTATCACAATATAACCAGCCCGGCCCGGTTATGATTATGTCATTATAAAGAGAAAACACATGTCATCATCCTATTAATCCAGAAAGTCTATAAATAGAGGCATGGAAAAGGAAGAAGAGATACAGAAATTGAGAATTCTACAAATCCAGAATTCAGAGTAAAATACAGAAACTCTACCAAAGAGTTTTAGTATTTATTTATTTATATAAAAAATATTTATTTATTTATATTAAAAAAATATTTATTAATTGATGATATGAAAAGAGTTTTAATAACAAAAAATATAAATAAATAAATAAATCTCTATAAAACTAAAATCTAACTAATAAAATTTAAATTAACCTATTTATCTATTTATTATTATGAATTTTATAATAAAATAAAATCTAATTAGACAATGATTATTAAAATTAAAAATATTTATTAATTGATATAAAAAATAAAATAATTTTTCTAAAACTCTCCCACAAATTAGCTTTTATTATGAGTTTTTTAATAAAATTAAATCTAATTAGACAACGATATATTTAAGAGAAAATAAAATAATTTCTATAAAACTTTATCACAAATTATCTATTTTATTTTCAATAAAACTTTATCACATTAGACAGAGATGTATTTTAAAAGTTTCTATAAAAATCTAACACAAATTACCGATTTATCTATTTATTATGAGTTTTTTAATAAAAGAAAATCTAATTTGACAAGTATTATTAATATAAAAATTATTTATTAATTGTTATAAAAAAAAACGTTTTAAAAAAGTTTCTATAAAACTTTAACACAAATTACCTTTCCAGTATTTCAGTATTTCAGTATTTATTTATTGTTTATTAATTGATATGAAAAGAATAGTTATATTTTATGGATAATTATCACAATATAACCGGCCCGGCCCAGTTATGATTATGTCATTATAAGGAGAGGACACATGCCATCATTCTATTAATCAAGAAAGTCTATAAATAGAGGTATGGAAAATGAGGAAGGGATACAGAAATTGAGAATTTTTGAAATCCATAATTCAGAATAAAATACAAAAGTTCTACCAAAGAGTTTTAATATTTATTTATTTATATAAAAAAATATTTATTAATTGAGATATAAAAAATGTTTTTACCTATACAATTATTAAATGTGCAAAGCGTTTCAGTATTAAAATATTTATTTATTTATGTAAAAAAATATTTATTAATTGATGATATGAAAAGAGTTTTTATAAAAATAAAAAATAAATAAATAAAAAACTCTATAAAACTAAAATCTAATTAATAAAATTTTAATTAATCTATTTATCTATTTATTATTATGAATTTTTTAATAAAAGAAAATCTAATTAGACAAGAATTATTAAAATAAAAAAAAATTATTAATTGATATAAAAAATAAAATAATTTTTCTAAAACTTTCCCACAAATTAGCTTTTAGTATGAGTTTCTTAATAAAATTAAATCTAATTAGACAAGTATATATTTAAGAGAAAATAAAATAATTTATATAAAACTTTATCACAAATTACCTATTTTATTTTCATAAAACTCTATCACACTAGACAGAGATATATTTAAAGAGTTTTTATAAAAGTCTAACACAAATTATCTATTTATTTATTTATTATGAGTTTTTTAATAAAGAAAATCTAATTAGACAAGTATTATTAATATAAAAAACTATTTATTAATTGATATAAAAAAATGTTTTAAAATAGTTTTTATAAAACTCTAACACAAATTACCTATTTATCTATTTATTATGAGTTTTTTAATTAAAAAATGAATTATTAAAATTAAAAATATTTATTAATGGATATATAAAGTAAATATTTTTTTCTAAAACTCTTCCACAAATTAGCTTTTATTATGAGTTTCTTAATAAAATTAAATCCAATTCACGGATATATTTAGAGAAAATAAAATAATTTCTATAAAACTCTATCACAAATTACTTATTTTAATTTCAATAAAATTATATCACACTAGACAAAGATATTTTTAAAGAGTTTCTATAAAACTCTAAATATATATACATTAGGATATAATATGTTCTTTTTGTTAAAAATTGGGTACTAAATATGAATGTATATGTATCATTTATCATTTTATCAATGAAAAGGGTTTGGGAAGATGATGAAATAAATTGTCATATTAATAGTTTTTATAAAAATAGTTTCTATAAAACTCTAAATATTACCTGATAAAATCAATTACAATAAAATATTTATTAATTGATATAAAAAGAACAGTTATTTTTTATGAATAATTATCACACATGTCATCATCCTATTAATCCAAAAAGCCTATTAATCCAAAAAGCTTATAAATAGAGCCATAGAGGAAGGAGGAAGGGGTGCAGAAATTGAAAATTCTAGAAATCCAGAATACAGAAGCTCTGTCAAAGAGTTTTAGTATTTAAGAGTTTAAGTATTTATTTATTTATTATATATAAAAAACTTATATTTATTAATTAAATTTTTTAATAAAAGAAAATTTCTAGCTTTTTCTTGATTCGAGTTTTATTATGAGTTTATTATTAAAAGGAAATCTAATTAGACAATGATAAATGTAAAGAAAATAAAATAATTTCTATAAAATTATATCACAAATTATCTATTTTATTTTCTATAAACTCTATTACATTAAATAAGGATATATTTAGAGAAAATAAAATATAACTAGGGTCTTCCAAAAAACCACAAACTCCATATAATAAATTTTTATATCAATTTCAATCTAATGTATGATTAGTATAATTAAATTTCTATTTTAAAATTTAATTAAAAATTAATAGAATTGAATTTCTATTGTAAATTTAAAATTATACTAAATTTCAAATTACCAAATAAAATTCAAATTACAAATTACCTACTAAAATTCAAATCTATATATATATATATATATATATATATATATATATATATATATAATTTTTTAAATATTACCTAATAAAATTC